CTTTTCCCAAATTTTCCGGAACTTCCCAAAAAATTTTCCTACTTTCCCCACGAAATTTTGCTGTCGAGCGGAGGGGGTGGGAAGGTATAGCAATAGCACATGTGATACAGGAAAATAACGAAAAATCAACGACCGGAAGAAAATTTTCCAACGTTGCAAGTTCCTCTCAGAGGGCAAATACGACCTCCCCCCCTCCTCTCCAAGCAACGATGAAATGCGACCCTCCTTCTCCAAACAACGAGCAAATACACCTCCCCTTATAGCGCCCGTGAAACAAGAGAAATCAACTATCAAAAAAAATTCTTAGACCAAATACGCCCCTCCCTCCCCGACCAATTACGGGTCCCTTTTGGGGAATCCCAACGATTATGTGCCCTGTTTATCCACAGAAAATGACGAAAGAATCAGTTCAGAGATGGTTCTAACAGGAACAAGCAAATATGGTAAGCTGTCAGTTATGATCGAGGGATGAATCGCACACCCAATGGGATGATCCGATGAGTGTCCGACAGGGATCCCGAGGAGGACCAGTTTGTCGACTGCCACTTCACACCTTGCTACGACGACGATGCGATGCGCCCGATATGAAACCATACCATTCCTGTCGCCGATACGCTTCGTTGCGCCCTATTGCACAGGTGTTTGCGCCCACTTTAAGGCGCTTACGTCATCCCTCTAGCGTCATCGCTTTATCATGGAAAGGCTCGAGGAACGACAGGCTCTGCTGTAGTGTAACGGATCGCTGAGATGATGGCGAATAAACAAAAACAAGACGTTTTTGCTGGAGGCAATCAGCTGTCATGCTTTGATCGCTTGACAAGTTGTTAGCTGAGGAATGTGGCCGATGTCTAGTTGGTGAGGCGGAAAACTCGGCTTAAAAGGAGGCAGAGTATGAATTTAGGGATATACTGGAGCAAAGATCATCTACACAAGGAAGCAGCCACTCAGCCAAATTGAAACCAAAAAAATCCATCGCAGTAAACACTTCAGAAATCCATAGCTGGTTTTACTTCTCTTATTAACATGTGTTATTTTGTCGATTCCCAGAAAGAAGATAGTGAGAAATATTTCCGAGGGGAGGAGTTGGGAGGGGAGGGGTGGGGGGAGACAGCGGGGTGTGGCCATACCACTCTATGGCATTTTGACCCGCCTTGCCCTCTCCTGCCGCCTCCAAATTTCTTGGCCAGGAGTGGTATATATGCCACTTTCCTAGGGCACATCGTACGTCGGAGATTCGTGGTTCCCGGCGACGGAGGTCGTATGTGGTCGTTGGAGGAAGGGTTCATTGTTCCGGAAATATTCACGATAATTTTTGGGTATTTGATGGGTTTCTTTTTCGTTTAATGAAGCGCTGTGTTGCCTACTCGAGGGCAGATTTGTACCTAAAAAAGGAAAAATAAATGATTTTTTGGAAAATTGGAAAAGTGGAAGAGGTTCTAGAAATGTCCAAACTTGTAAAAATGTGGCAGATAGAAAAAGAGAATCATTCAGAAAAGGAACTCTTCGAGGTAGAAAAGTCTAATGTTGCGGATTCCCCAAAGAAGTAGCTTGCCTCCACGCCCGCCCCCTCTCTTCAATACACATTGTACTCTACTCCTTCAGTGAGTTGAAAATAATGGCATAGAAGATATGGATACATGATTAACAAAACATGAAATGACACATAAATTGACAAACACGCACTCCTGCTGAATAACCTGCTAGGTTAAGTACGACATGTTATCGTAGCGGTCTGAGGCGGAGGTATATTGTGACAAGTGGTGCCGCTTATCACGGGCGTGGAACAGGAGTCGAGTACTAGATCATGTTCGTAAGGGCTAATGAAGATTCATATGTCCCAAGGGTAAGAGTGGCTCCGGTAGCGTAGCAACCGCACAGAAAGCGGAGAATGCGGGTTCAAATTCCGCACTTGGTCTGACTTTTGCCCACGCCCAAGACTATCCCTTGGGAGTTGGCATATTACTACAAAGGCTTTTCTGTAAGTACAGACATAGAAACACACCTTCAAACGGGAACTGAGCTGCCTCTTTGACCTCTCAATTTTGAAATTCACTGGGTTCACTGTTTCATTGTTTTTCAATTCAGTTCACTGTTTTAAGGCAGTTGGCAAAACCCCTAAGGCGAGTAGGATTAATACGCCTGCCAAGATGGAATTCCGCGACCCTGTGCATGGCGTATGCAGCGCCCTTTCCAAGGAAGGTACTCTTATAAGGCCCTATCAAGCTACAACATACCGACCCGAACGCCCACGCGCCCGCCCGCCCACAAATGGACGACCGTACCTGATGCTCGTATTGCTTCATTTGCTAAGTAAAATATGAAGCGAAGGGATTGGTATGAAGCGGCTGCGGTGCTGCATGGATATATGAGTACATACGTGCAGCCGTACCTACCGTAGCGGTTATTGGCAAGATGCCTACGGGAAACTCGTCCAAAGCTGCTTCTCAAGTCGTTAAGATCGAAGGCTTTTTTGCGGATATTGACCGATTCACTTTGGTTTTTCTTCGCCATTTTCCCCACTATGTAGCCCCTTAGCATTTTTGGCCAAGTACCAAATTATCGTGTCAACTGACTTTAAGCGGTTTTCGAGAAGTTACCAATATGCCAACACATAATGGTAATTTACAGTGTACTTTCACTTCTACAAATGAATGCGGCAGCGAATTGCGCTTCAAAGGCCACTACAATTCCAAGTGAAGGTGGAACGCATGGCGCATTCTGCAGTAATGACGACCATTATCGAATCCTCCGCTGCGAGTTATAGTCAGTATAAGTTTGGGGAACACGGTGGTGGGAGAGTTAGTGTGCTGACTATTGAGGGCTTACTGCGCGCACGGGAAGGGGTTCAAAGCTCAGATGGGGGTCAGATAGGGACCATCTATTGGTAATCGACGCCAGGGATGAAGCCGAACTGTCAGTTGTGTGGGTGTGAGTTGTTCCAGTGCAGTGAAAGAATCCCACATTCCTTCAATGTTGCCTAGGAGGTTGGAAGCAGCAGTGAAGGCACACAGAACTCAACAGGTAGAGGGCTTCTCTCCATTATACCTCGGATTCATTGCTTACCGCATTCATAGGTAAACTCAACCACTCCCAATGCGCCCCCTAATAGGAATAGGAGTAGCGATATTGCTGAAGAAAAATAATAGAAACGAAGTGCATACATGGCGAATAAACCGTAATCAAATATTTAATAGCAATTAATAAAGCTAATCAGATAAAATAATGGGCAGAATTAGAGAAGAAATAGTGAAATCATAATGTATTAATGTATAATACCTATCAATAACTCATGGTAAAAGAGTAGTGAGATGAGAAGTGTGAGA